AATATTTCACAGAAAATTCAATTGTTGGCCTTAATAAGAGCTACTTAATTAATGAGTTATGATTCACTATCCAATATTTTGACTGTAGCTCATCAACCATTTTTAAATTCTGTGTTTCCCTAGCTCTTATGATTAGGAGGGTTAATTTACCAGAAATATTAAATGACAAACTGTAAAGAGAAATACCAAGCATACAGGAGTAGCTACTCACAGAAATAATATTTCTATACATTTTTATTTCATAATTTTTCAAAAACAAGGAAAAACAATGTCTACATTTTTATCACCCAGTATGAAGTTAGAAAAATAACGCTCCCAAAGTTAAAATCTCAGAAACTCCTGAAAAGCCACAGACTCTGTAAAGTGCAATCTTAATGCGAAACACTGAGCAATCTTTTGTCGTATAAAGTTAGAATAACAAGTTCACAAACGTCTTTGGTTTCCAAAGCAGTTTTACCTCATACTTGCCATTCAAATTGTTTTTTACTCTACATATCATGTCTGGAAAATTTTGGATAGATACTTTCCACTCTAGAACTGTATTAAATCAATTCAGCCTAATGACTTCTTTTTAGACATAAAAAATTTACCACTGACAACAGCAAACAGTATTTTTAAGAGCACACAAGAACTTCTTTAGTTCTGAGGAGTTTAAAGTTCGAATAGGTACCATAAAAGGGTACTGCATTCATTATGTTTGAAAAGCATTCTGCATATATAACTCTAAAGAATGTATAGAAGGCTGGTTTGAATATTTTGTCTATTTTTCTATTCCATTCTCCAGCTTCTCCTTCTGTTCCTTAACTACTCATATTAAGTTTTTAGCAATATTGTTTTTCCACTGATAGAAAATTTCGAAGTTTTGTTTGAGAAAAAAATGACTCAGAAAATCTTGGAAAAAATACTGTCTTGATTGATTTTACCCATGCAGTCAATTTTCTTCTGCTAGTGTTGAGACGTGTTTCACAATGATAGAAACCTTAGAGTTGGAAGAGATTTTCAAAGGCCACCTAGTCCGAATCCCCCACAACGAATAGGGACACCCACAGCAAGATCAGGTTGCCCAGCACCTGGTCCAGCCTCACCTTTGAAGTCTCCAAGGACAAGACACCCACATCTCTGGGTAACCTGCTCCAATACCTCACCGCTCTTGCTGTAAAAGACTTTTCTCTTATATTTATATGGTAACTGTTGAGTCATGGCTTGAACCACTGATTGAGCACCTGGGGAAAGGACCAGGTCAGACCTGGGAGCACAGGTGAATTGCCTTCACCTGTTCAACTGGAAGGGACGGAGCCTGACTGCACCTTTTAAGGGCTGACTGCCACTAGGAAAGAGTCTCCTTCTGGAGATTCCTCCTGTTAGCCTAGATCTTCAGAGATGGGTGAACAGTCCTTTTTTCCTTCCCTTATAACACCGTTCTATTGTATTAGTCTGTTTGTCATTACACATCTTGTATCACCATTGTATCACATTAATCTTTCTGATTGTTACAATATCTAACTTAAAACTACCTTCATTGAGCTTGAAACCATTTCCCCTTGTTCTATCACAACAGACCCTACTAAAGAGTCTGTTTCCTTCTTTTCTGTAGGTTCCCTTTAGATACTGAAAGGCCATTATCAGGTCACCTCAGAGCCTTCTCTTCTTCAGACTGAACAGCCTTAACTCTTTCAGTTTGTCCTTATAAGAGAGGTGTTCCTTGAATTATTTTCTAGACATGCTGTAACAGATCTGTGCCTCCCCTGTATTGAGGACTCCACATCTGAACACAGTACTCCACGTGAAGTCTCATCAGTGCAGAGCAGAGGGGCAACATCACCTATCTTAACCTGCTGACCATACTTCTTTTGATGCAGCCCAGGATATAGATGGCTTTCTGAGCTGTCAGGACAAGCTGCCAGCTCATGTGCAGCTTGTCATCCACCAGTACCCGTGGTCTTTTTTGGCAGGGCTGTACTCAGTCATTTTACTCTCTAGCTTGCATTGGTAGTGGATGTTGCCTTAATGCAGGTGCAAAACCTTGCATTGTGAGATTCAGTAAATCCAGAGCTTTACCTGGGTCCACTGCTCAAGCCTGTAAGTTCCTCTGGATGGCAGCATATCTCTCTACTGTGTTGACTGCACCCTACAGCTTACTGTTATCAGCAGACTTGCTGAGAGTGTACCCGATCCCACTGTCAATGTCATTAATGAAGATATTAGAGTATCAGTCTCAGCACTAACCTCTGGGTTAAACTCATCACCCTTATCCATGCAGTTATTGAGCCATTGAACACCACTCTCTGGATTTAATCCTGCAGCCAGTTCTTTGTCTATTGAACAGTCCACTCATCAAATCCATATCTTTTCAATTTGGAGAGGAGGATGTTGTAAGGTACTGTCAAAGGCCTTACTGACATCCAGATAGATGACATCAGTGGCTCTTCCCTTGTCCATTGGTGCTGTTACACTATCATAAAAGGCCATTAGGTTGATCAAGCAGGATTTGCCCTTGGTGAAGCCACGCTAGTTCTCTCATATCACCTCACTGTCTTCCACATGCTTTAGCATAACTTCCAGGAGGATCTGCTCCATGATTTCTCCCAGTAGATGTGAGACTGACAGGTTGATAGTTCCTGGGATCACCCTTTTTACCCATCTTAAAAATGGATGTGATGTTGTCTTTTTTTCCAGTCACTAAGAATATTGGCATTTTAGAGTATTTTAGACTAAAATATTTTTGTAAGTTTTCTTGAAGACCAAAGTGAATATTCTTTATATTTCTCAACTTAAATCTCTAGTCTGAATTTTCAAGTTTTTACTACGTATGATCGCAAGTTAACAGAATGTCTATGGCCCTTGTTTCTTTCTTATGGATAACTGTAATAAACCAATGGTATTTTTTTACATGGTAATCATCATTTACTTTCCTTCCACTAATGCATAATTGTTATTTGCCTTTTGACAACAACAGAAATACATCTGTGATTCAAATGAGTTTTGGAGTTTGAACCCAGGATGACATAATACTATCACAACGTAAGATTCTGTCTTCCCTGACTGAGTTGAGGATTGTACTTCAGCTTATGGACAGCCACACTTCTTAACTGCCCTATTCTATCATACATGTGATCTGTGAAGTTGTATCACACAGTATTTTCCTAAAGTCTGTCATGACTGTAAGATTACAGGAGAGATTCTAAAAATGTTCTTGCAGGCACCACTGAATTACTTCATATCTAGACATTTTCCCTGCTTTCTGCATCTCAGTTCCCTCTACCAGTTACACAAGCATATAACACCTACTGTACTTTTTAAAATAATGTAAAAAAAATCAGTAATGAACAGTTTCAAATATTTAAGGATTTGTTATATTTTATTTCCTCTCTGAACTTCCCCCTCGTTCCCCTCTGCTTCTATTAAGTGAAGAAATAATTTAGCAAGGTTTCCTCTTCACTGTAAGAAAAACAAAACAAAACAAAACACTTTTTCTATCCATTCTTTACTGGCTGTTTCTTAGATCACCACTGCTCCCCTTTCTGTCCCTCCAGGGCTTTCCTTCCTTGTCCCCCTTTGATTCTTCTCCTTTTTCGGAAGCTTTCATGTGTGAGAGAGATGAGCATTCATCACAATGTAGTGCAGTTCAGTGAGCACACGCAGCTGCAAGGATACTTCTTCAAACAAATAGGATTTTTTCAAAACCACCTCTGATTTTCTACATCTTACTCCCATAGCTGCCATCTCATATCCTGTGCTCACAATCCTCCCTCCTATCATCTATTCTTTCTTCTCCTCTTTTCTTAGTTTTTTTTCCCCCCTTTCCTAAATTTTCTGTCTTCTCATCACTCTTTTTTCCTTTTGTCTCCTTTTCTGCTGGTTTAACACAGGCTACCTCCTCTTAACGCAAAGCATTCTCTCCCTGTCTATTTTTTGAGACAAATGATTCAGATGGAGGGGCAAAAATTCCTGATTTCAGCCCTCTGTATGTTGCCCTGTTGTTGTGGCTTTGTGATATTATTGTTTTTTTGTTGTCAGTATTTCACATCATAACATCATGCAAAGCACTGGGAGTTAAAGAGTTAATGTTCCAGTTCCGTGGACCACTGTTTCTGGGTGCTTGGCTCTCAGAGGGGGAGGCAAGGGGCTGCATTCCCCAGAGGACTTTGCGCCCAGAGGAAGAGAGGTGGAGCCCCTGGCAGCTCAGGAGCCTCTCTCTTTGTTTGCTGCAGAGAAGTGCGTGCTGCCTTGCTGCTTTTTGCCTGCAGCTTTAGAGTAAGGTCTTCGGTTTGGACACTCTCTCTCATTTTGTTTGATTTGTTGGCTTCAATTCCAATTAAATTGTGTTCTATTGTGTTATTTTGCATTCTGATATCATGTTTAGTAAGTTAACATTCCTCAGATCATTGCCACTGCTGTTTCTAGACCCATTAGACCCATTTACTATCTCCCTGCCCTTCCCCCTTTTCCCCTTTCCCGAGTATGGGTTTGTGGGTCCTCTGTCTCATTAGTCACAGGACCAAGCCAGACCAGCCTGTGAACCACTGACACTTTTCTTTTTCTTTTGTAGGCCTGTGGGCCTGCTGTCCCCATCATGGACACAGATAGATCTAGAGACAATTCCGTGACATCTGTAGAACAGTATAAATCTTTAGAGACTACTTCACTAATACGCAGCAAGAACAGGAACACAAGAACCAAATACATGCAAAGCATGAACAATCAGCTTATTCCTGGGGCAAGTAGGTTTATTATTTAAGACCTTCACTTCTGAGGTAGCCAGCAGTCTCACTAATGAATATTTCTAGTTTTTCATATGAGTGTTGTTCTCTCTAGATACAATACTGCCCTTTCCTCTAGAATCAATATGAATACTTCTTTATATCTCAGGAGTTAGTGATTACCATCATAACCAAGAAAGACATTTGTTTAATGATCATCTTTAGTAGAACAAGCATCCTGAAAACACTTTTTTCCTCTAAAGAAAATTCTCTTAAGAATTACATGAAATTGATTCTTACCTTCTAGCGAAGTGACTAGATGAAAGAAGCAGACCATCCAGAGCCAATCCATTCCTGACACTCTTCTTGCACTGATGTCAGCATTAGAATCCATGAAGATTCTCTGTAGACTCCAACATATCAAATAAACACACACGACTCACTTGAATTGTTCAGAGGTTGCTTGGAGTGCTTTGATACCTTTGAGTGTTTTGGAACCAGCCCATAAACCGTTGACATCAAGTCAAAGCAGAGATCTTCACACTGAAATACTGGTTAAGGAAAGAGAGATGGAAACAAAAGTCAAGTCACAATAATACAGACCTGACATTTATAGTCTTACTGTATAATTTACTACTGAGCTACAGGTAAGAGAGTGGCAAAGACCCAGTAGATACTATATTCCCATACCTCCCACCCATCACCCTTCATTCTCAGTTGTTTTGTATGCTGCCAATAAACACAGATTTTGAGACATTCATGGCATCAGCAAGAGTGGATTTCCTAGATGATATACAGTGTATTCTTGAGTCTTAACCATTTATTTGTATTTTTGGCAATGTACTGTAAAAGGTTTCCATTCCAATTCCTCTGCGTTGTTTCTAAATTTCACCTCCTGTAATTACACTTTGTCTTTGGCAGTAACCACAACAGAAGAGTTTTCATCGTTTCTGGTAATAACAAATCTGCATTGTTGACATATTTCACTGTAAAAGTAACTACGTTTCAAAAGCATGAATATGTCCATGTAAACATCTTGCTACACAACAGTACTGAAGATGGACAGCATTTTTTTCCTATAAATGTGTCATTAGTCAGGAAGCAAGCACAAATGATTTTTAGGTCAAACAGCGAGCCTGCATCACAGCCAAGAAAAGACTACAAATCCAAATTTATTATATTAGTAAAAAACAGGTAAACAAAAAAGCCCATGACAACACTGCTATTGAGTACCTGACATCAAGGCTGCTCTCACAGCGAGGGAAAGCGTGGAGCCTAATCCAAGACTGCATTACATCAACCCAGTACAACAATTTTACTAAGGAAAGTATTTCTGGCCCTATCTGCCCAATTCGCTGAAAACAGGGAAGACAGGGAAGCATGGCTGAGGAGATAAAGAGAAAAATATATATATCAAGCAATATAAATAAGAAACGGTCTAGTAGCTCAGCTGAGATAGGGAAGGGAAGAGTTGTAATTAAAAAAGGGTAGGTTCAATGAAATTATCTGAAAACCCTGCAAAGGGGAGACTGAACAATTTTCAAGTGGAAGAGAAGCAGCAGCCTGGAAAGTATGAGATCAGGCAGTGGAGCGGAATTCGATTTGCTTTGTTAAAGATGAACAGAAATTACCATATGAAATGGGATAGTTCTCTTCTGCATTACTCCTACTGAGAACTCAAAATACCAAACCAGAAGCATCCTGAACATCAGAAAAAAAGATGTATGAAACTGAAGGGAAGAGAAAACTTTGATTCAAGGAAGTTATTTATGAAGAAAAGAAAATCAGTTACACATGACTGAGTAAAAGTGAAGATTACACAATGAGATGGAGGTAATGTAGGTGCTATGTATTAGTTTAATAATCTTGTAAATACCACAGGAGAAAAATATCACAATACAAGACTAAAAAGGAGAAAAATTTCAGGCAGAATGATCAGAAAACCCTCCTGTGTCATCTGAAATCTGGGAAGAAAACTGTAACTCCTATGTGGTGTTAGAAAGCGGCCTTCCTTTATTCCTCAAGATGCACACACACCAGGTGACTTGAGGAGCAAACGCACCCTCTCTGAGTTCAGGTTCTAGGTTTCAACAGTTAAGACATACATATGCAGTACACTGGAGTACATATTCACTTTTCCAAGGTCTCACAGATATGTGACAATGTCTCTTTGGGCATGCTCAGTTGCATTGAGGGTAGTCGAGTGGCCACTTACTTCTTTCCCTTTTTTCACCATCAGCTTCGTCACTGAAACCTCTGACTTGCTTTCATCCACTTTTCCCCAGCATGGAAAATTTCAGTTGCTTAGTAGTCCACAGTGAGCCAATTTTTGAAAAACAGTGTACGTGGAACCCAAGGAAAATGTCCCTGCACATTTTCAGATAAAAGATAGAAGTATTCTATTGTGACTCCAATACTTCTTCTGAGACAAAATCATTGAGACAGAAAAGTATTCTATAATGACCCCAGTGCAAAATTATGGAGGAAAAACAAGGCTGATCACTCACTAAAGCTGAAATGAAATGTTTCATAATATTACTTATGGATTCCTTTCACCAAACAAATATGTTGGTTCTTAAACTGATGTACTAATCTCTATTGCTAAACAAACCAACCTGTCTTGCTAGCACATAGCAGTGTCTTCCAAAAAAAGGGTTGCAGACTATTTCTTGAGCCATATGAAACAAGACTGCCTGTCTGACTGCTCTAGGTGCAAATATTAATACTCAGCTTCTGCCTCCCAGCTAATCTCCAATATTCTAATACCCAAAAGGCCTTTTTCAGGCCAGACAAATTTTACGATATAGGGACTTTTAAACATTAATTTTGAAAACAGATAAATGCAGAAATAAAAATCAAAAATTGAAGAAATATCTTTTCATTTCCATTAGTGGGATGGAAGCAGTCCACTGTTCAGACTATTTCAGTTACACAACTTCTGAATGACAAAGCAGGAAACAGAACATAAATTTGCTCTGGCTACAGGTATTTCATCCTAGTTGTGAAATTACTGTGCAATATGTAAAGAGCAAATCAGATTGCTACTGCAAAACAACTAAGCAAGTCTTCCACCATGAAGCCATGGAAATAATTCTGTCCCCATAGAGATCTTTTGTTTCTCCTTTCCTCCCTGCTTGTGCATCTATGCCTCTTTCAACACGTGTCCAATTTACTTTACTAGGTCCTGTGTCCCGTAAATTTTGGGACTCCTTATAATGCACCATATGGCTTCTGTCTGGACTATACTCAAAAGTTATTTTTCCCCAAAATTAATTGTGGCTAAAGCAAAAAGCTAGATTTAGTTTAGCAGTTAAAAAGGTAAATCTGTCAGATTTTTGGATTCTGCCTCTTCTACAGCCTGATGAAAAAATGGTTTTACCACAATGAAGGGTAAAGGAGAATATCAACAAAGCACATAGAGGAGTTGGAGAAAAGTTCTGGCCTCCCTGAAATAGTGACTGCCAGGCCTGCACACTGCTAACTACTGCTGTGCCTTTCCTGCCAGCACTTGATGCACGCAGAATTTGACTGCGCTCAAAGACACCCATCTAAAATTCTTCAGTTCCCCTACTGTTTCCTCCTTACAACAAACTACTTAAACAGAAACCTCAAACTATCTCAACCTCTACATTGCCCAATTCTGCTGTGCATACAAGTCCCTTTCTGTGACTTTCTCAGCTTACTATTTCTTCCAAAACTGCTTTCAGATTACCTGTCCTTGCTATAGAAGCCTCTATCCTTTCCTCCAAATCCAATGTTTGCGTACAACTTCCCCACACAGGATACTTAAAAAAAACTTTCTCAAATCTAAGAACTTTTCCAGATCATCTTGTTTTGTCCCACTGAAAGAATGCTTCTTTTTCCTTTTTTTTTTTTTTTTTTTTGTTAATTGGCTCCTCTAGGCCTGTACAATGAGCTTTCCTATAATACACTTAATTCAACAAACGTCCCTCATATTTATTATACTTCTTCCTCATACAAAGCATTTATATGCAAAACAAATGCACAACATCTGCGCTAGTATAACCTTTCCCCCTTTTTCACATTTTGCACTGTGACTTCTAAATGTGTATTATCCCTCTGTGGAGATAAATGAGCACAACCTATAGAAGAGTGAATAAACTACTTCATCAATTAATTTACAGTTTGCACACTGATTCATCATGTTTAGGAGTTTATACTTCCTTCCCATTCATGTTAAATGGGAAAACATGATGGTGCCATACATCAAATCAGAGGCCTCTTACTCCCTCAGGTTTCTTCTACTTCTTTTACAGTGAGATGCCCTTGCAACTATGATCATGCACCTTACTAGGATAAAGCTTATCCACTCAGCTTACAGTGCGGATGCAAAAAGCTGTCACTCAATGTCTGCAGCACTTTGTACATGACATAATACTGCCTACCTTCTTTTTTAAGCATAGTTACATTAACCATTACTCACCGAAATCTTTCTATACCTCAAACAGGAAGCAAACGAGGGTAGAATAGCACATAACTTACCACTAAGGGTTTTAAAATCACGAAGTTAATGTGATTTTCTACAAAATTAATCACCAGAGAACATACAGCAGCACAGAGAAATGTTTAACTGTGTAAAAAAGAAGAACTACGGACCACTAAACTCCTCCTGGTATGCCGAGCAGCCTAAAGATATCAGAGGAATTGTCTGTGCATGCAGTCTTTCAGCCTGTCCCATACTCAGAACTGGCACCTTTTTAGCTAACCACAGTGTTTTCCTTTAAATTTCTCTTCTCATTACCTGGCTATATGTCACAGCTTTACTTGTCACCCCAGTTTACCTTCCTTACCACAAACTGTTGGCCTTTGCCCTGAGTTTCCTTTGACTCTTCCCATTCCTTCCCATCATATTTCTACTATGCTTATCAAAAGGTTAGTATCCATTTTGTTATTATTGCAATTAAGAAAAAAAACAGTAGTCAGACTTTTAAAATTAAAGATACAAATTAAAGATCCCTTCTTTGCTGGTTAGGTACTTGAATTAAAATGTGTAGCAAGAACCACAGAATGTATGTTGCAGCTTCTGCATAAGTTCTCTTAGCACCTCCCAGGATCTGACTTGACAGTTTTTATAATGATTCATAAGTATCTCACACCAATCGAGTTTTCAAAGAAATATTGTTAATTATACTCAAGTTTCTAACGTTAACACCTGGATACAAAACCTTAGATTTATTCTATTAAACACATTATAGAATGTATATATGACCAATCACTTGTCTGATATAAACTTTCCTAAAAATAATAAGAACTGGAATGGCACAGAGGTTATTTTAGTTGAACTTTCACACAGTAAGAGATTGCTGAAAGAAGAGAGAATAGCAAAATAAGTAAGTATGATTCTACTGTGCTCTTATCATCAGCTTTACTCTAGTGTTTCTCAGGAAACTTCCCTTAGTTCTTCACAGTGCATTTCTAAGTATGCATACATACCGCATTATCGTCCAGTTTCAGTTGTTAGCTTTTACAGGTATTCTTTTACAAGGATACACAATTTTGAACAGACAAAAAATAGATAATTTTCAGCTTT